CTCAAAGAGTTAAATGATTTAAATTAACAAGTGCCTTATTACCTGCTCGATGCGTAGTACATGAGGTTGACGTATGACAAAACGAACTTCGCGTTAATACCACGCTAAGCGACGGCCGAAGTCTGGGGGTGACGACAGCGGAAAGGGCGACGGCAATAGCAACGATGACATTGGTGGTCTAGCGGCGACACGTAGTGTTGTTGAGTGTGTGCCGACCAGCTGTTTGCACTGTTACCGTCAGCTGTCGTGGTCAGTTGGCCGGTGGCGAGCCTCGGTGCAGTAGAATGTAGAGACGCTTATATTCAGTGCCGTGGTTTCCATTGTCGACGCTCGACACTGTCTGTCCGAGTCAACTTTTCTTCTGACATTGATTGCTTGCTGTTTGTCGCACACGGAGGCGGCTGCGGCGTTTCGACATCGGCCAGGCCTCTCTCCGACGGCCGTGGCCATTCACAGTCGGATTTGGAGAAGTCGTGTCGTCGCAGCCGTCGTACGACAGCCGCTGATTGCTGAACGATTTCGCTAATGTGAAGGTCACTTCGATCAATGTGGTTGTTAAGTATTTTCGCTAACTTAACTAAGCATTACGGCCGCCCCGAGCTTAAAACCATTATCACTCATATGCGACCGCGACCGGTGGTTTGCATGCAGTCCGGTTCTTTTCGACAGCAACCTAATCGTCGGTTTCCACTAAGCGATTCAAGTGGCGAAACTTTATTTCAATCGGTCAGCAAAGCGAAAAGCATATTGCTGACCACATGCGCCAGTTTCACACGGCAAAAACTGGCCACGCGAAGTCGTTCATTCATCAGTCTGTCAGTCTTTCCGTCCCTGCAATTGATTCGCCTGCCCACAATCGGTGTTCGCTTGTGGTTCTCGGGTGCCGCTTTTCCATTCATCCTTTGTAATGAAATAAAATACCGCTTTTCGTTTGAAAGTAACTGATTACAACGCGAATACAAAGTATGGCGCAACGGATGCCACTTGGCTATCGATCGAGCCGGCGTCACCGCGGATTATCGCTTGGCTACATGTCATCATATACCGCAAAACTTTTAGCCCTCTGCTGCGAGTCTGTACTTCAGTGAGACAGTGGCATCGTTTCGGCTCTGACAATATTTTCCTTACTCATGGTCACTGTGTTACAGAGATTACTTGAATTTTTTGAACGGATACAAAATTCTTCGTCACCAAGGTCATTACAGAGCTTATTCGGCACATGAGTTTTATTTAACCTAGTCCCAATGTTTCCCATACGGCTAGATCCATTTTTAGGAGGCGTTAAAACACAAAAATGCAAAATTGTTGACATTTTCTGCATACTATTGCCACCAGATTTCATGAAGGTGAATCTAGCTCTATCCAAACATCAGGATTATGCTACGTTATACCCATATGTCCAGTGTGCCTAGCTGCTGGCCATTCGGCACGTCCTCGGGCTGCAGACAGTGAACCGACTTCCATATACAGAGGTTAGTTGTGACAAATAAGCAGTCGCGGACGGTCAGCGGTAAGACCACCAGGATAAGCCTTAGTTCAAGCTCGAATAGTTTGTCCCCAGAGAAAATTCACGATACCCAATGGTAGTCTCAAGTCAAAGCGGAGGCAGGGTTGCCCTTTCAGAAAACAACGTGTCCAGTATCACCGCTGATTTGCAGTGAGACGTCGGTTCGTCAAAGCCGGAAGAAGTAACTTGAACGAAACACCAAATGGAGTCGGGGGAACCCATCTGTATGAAATCTCTCAGGCCACCTTCAGCCCTACCAGCGGACGGCATAACTTCATAGATTATGACAATACGAATAAATGGCTACGAGTCTCTGGATCGGCTCCTCAGCGGCGATTCGGTGTTCAACTGACGAGAAGCTGCAAAGAATCCCAGGTGAATGGCTCCATGTGATAACCGGGTCCGGACTTGTCTGGTCGTTTGTACCACAACTGTGGAACTTTAGTCAAGGAAGAAACGTCAAACCAAGTAGGAGGAGAAACCTAGTAAGAGAATAGAGGAAATGGCGTTGCGATAGCATGAAACGTGACGGTGGAAGGAAATGAATGACAGCTGGAAAAATGGTAGTTAAACTTGGCTTGGAACAAGAGAGCATGCTAGAAATATTAAAAGCAATCAGATTTGTATTTAGCTGAAGCTGTTCCTCAAAAATTGTTTCCTGTTATGTGAAATCGCCATTAGGCATGTAGTATCTCCAACTCAATAAGAAGAGGACCTTGAAAATCGTTCAAGCCAATGCTCCCACTGGTACAGCTGAAGAACAGAGAATGGAAGAATTCTGTTAATAACTGGAACAGGTAGTGATACCAAAGTGTTACCGTACACCCTCGTCATGGGAGACTTCAGTTCCAATACAAGGAGTGGAATCGTTGGTTAACCGTTCATCCGCAGGTACTGCACTGGTGAGTGAAATGAACGAAGAGATCGAGGTGACCATGGCAGAAACAAAGCATTCTTACATTGCCAACACTTGGTTCAAGAATAAGACCAACAGAAACGATTATAGATCGCGCCAAACGCGGCGACGAGAACGAGACGACTTCGTCCTGTTCTTTAAACGCGACATCATTCGCGACATGCCATCATTTAAAACCATCAGTGACAACAGACTGGTGCAGGCCAGGGATCCTTCGAGCGTAAAATCGAGAGGAAGGCACAACAGATGGCAAAGAGCAGGCAACGACCGAAAGTATTAGACGAGGCGGTGCTCCAAGCGCGCATTTCCAGCGAGGACTGGAGTCTGAAAGACAGCTGCGATGCAACTAAGAGGAATTGGCTGAGAAACTGTGGCACCGCGAATAATCATCAGAGGTAGTAACATCAAATCAGCGAAAGGAACTATCTCAGAAAAGAGAGAGTTTTCTAAATAAGCGGCGGAGGATGAAGTGTTACCGCCAAGGTAGAGTACTTTCTGTCTTGCAAGCTCATTAAAGAGAAGCTGAAGGAGGGCTTGGAGACCTTCCGATTGCTGAAACTAAGGAAAACAGCCAAAGACCGAAGAGCCTCAGACAATGCAAGAGAGATTAAGAGCTTTATCAGTCGACTATCGCTGCGTTAAAGAACAGAGATAGTGCGTTAGCGTCTAACATAGCTAAAATGCAATCTAATTGCAACAACTTTCACAGCGATCTCTTTGTGTCATAGGCATGCCTTTCCATCATCACTCAACAGTTAGGAGGAAGTGGGCTCCCAGAGTCACTGGCGAACTTCGACATGCTGAACACCAAATAAAGGAAGGAAACGCCCTGAAGGAAAACGGCTTGACAATTGAATTTATCAGAACAGGTGGTCAGACGCTATGGAGGGCTCTAAAGGAGCAGTTCATTTGTCACATGGATGCGGAAAAGACACTATCAAGCTGAAAGGAGTCAAAACTAATCTTGCTGTTCGATAAGAGCGAGAAAGAAGAGCTGAATAACAATCATCCAATTTGTCTGCTCTCATAAGACCGCACGCTGTTTACTAAGAGCATCAGGAAGCAACTGACAACAAGTCTGGTCGAACAGCAGTCTACAGAACAGGCAGGATGCTGAAATAGCTTCAGCACAATGGATAGCATCTTTATCCAAATCAACTCCTCGAGTGCACTAGGGAATTCCAGTTTCTCCACTGCATCGCCGTCATCGACTGTGAGTAAACGTTCGACGCTGTCGAGTACAACGCAGTTAGGAATGCACTGGCAGAACGAGCATCGACACCCGTTACATCAACCTGCTAAAATAAGCAAACTCTGGCTGATTGAAGGCATCACCCTGTTGTACACCCCTTCCGGATTCTCGATGATAATGGCGTGAAACAAGGGAACACCATCTTCCCGAAACTCTTCATTGCCTGTTTTGAAATGGCCTTAAGGAGTATAAAGTGGCAGGGCGGAGACAACGTAAGCAGCTCAGCCACCTAAGGTTCACTGATGACGTGGTGTTTTCTACAGAAAGTGCTAATCAGCTACAAAACATTTCGCATAAACTCGAGGGAAAAAGTGCAGAAGCCGGATTTCGAATCAGTCTGTCAAAGATTAAGATCTTCTCTGATTTCGAATTAAAGGTGTCAAAAAATTCCACAAGGACAAATGGCTAGTGGCAGCCAAGCAACCATATCGACGTCTCCTTCTGATCCTTCGATGTCGCCTCTTTCTG